GCCGAGGAAGCTGGCTGGTCAGTATCCTCATTGGGGGTCCCAAGAGGGAGCCACCCCCCCAAGAAGAGCCCTTCCCACCAGGGTGGGCCATCTCTCCACCCCCCAGGAGGTTTCCCGACTCTGCTCCGTGTACTTCAGGAGGTATACGCATACCTCCGATATTAGATATTGCCTCCTTGTCTTCATTCTCTATCCTTGGTTGCATAAAGAGAGGCATGGGATCAAAATCATGTGATGTATTAGGATCACTTAATAAAACTTTGGTAAGGCCACCCCTGGAATCCTGCATCCAGTTTTGGTTACCGCAAAAAAGGTGTGGAGGCTTCGGAAGAAGCGCAGAGAAGAGCAAATGAAATTATTAAAGGCCCGGAGACGAAAACGTCTGGAGAACGGCTGCAGGGCTTGGCCAGTCTAGAGAAAAGAAGGACTTGGGGGGGGGGGGGCAGGGAAAGCAGCCTTCCAGTGTCTGAGGGGCTGCCCCAAAGAACAGGAGGAGCTCCACTTATTTTCCAAAGCACCCGAGTTGAGAAACAACGGATGGAAACTAATCAAGGACAGAAGCAACCTGGGATTAAGGAGAAGCTTCCTAACAGTGAGAACAATTAGCCAGTGGAACAGCTTGCTACCAGAAGTCGTGGGAGCTCCATCACTGAAGGTCTTTAAGAAAAGACTAGACAGCTACTTTTCTGAAATGCTACAGGGTCACCTGTAGTCGGACTAGAAGACCTCCAAGGTCCCTTCCAACTCTGTGATTCTGATTCTGTAAGACTTTCCTGCTTGAGCAGGGGGTTGGACTGGATGACCTCCAAGGTCCCTTTCCAGCTGCATTCCGATCAAGGACCGATGAAGAGCATTAAGGAGCTGATCAAAGCTATGGGAAAGGTGTCGTTATCTGGGGAGAAATCCCAGGCAGGACCAGGATGGAGGCCACCCAGCGTCGCGCCAGCAAAGCGGTCATGTGCAGGATGCAAATCCCCCCCCCTCTTAAACTGGACCACATCCCTCAGGGGGTTGCTGTGGCCTTTTCTAATCGCTTCTCATTTTTTTTTTGAATAATTTAGCATCCCCCACAGATGTGAGCAGCTGTTTACCCGAGTCAAGACGGTTCACGAAAACACCAGCTCTGCTCTCGACTCCGTCCTCAGGGAGTTGACTCAGAGCCTCCGGGGGGTAATTTCCTAGGGTTTTTTGGTGGGGGGGGGGGAATCCAAGGGGACGATGCTGACATCGACGTCTCTGGCCACCCTCTCAACAATCCTCGGGAGCTGAAGAGGAAGATTCGCCCTTGCACAGCTGATGTTGATTTCCCTTCATGGGGGCTCCACCCTCCACACGTTTACAAACCTTCTTACAAACAATCGCAAATCAAAATGGTTGCGTTTGTAGAGTGTAGAGGTGCACCGTTCTCACAATGTTTTTGTGTTCTTATTCTACGTTTCAAATTGCCGTGAGCTGCCCACTCGGGTGTTTGATCTACAAATTCTGTCGTAAGAAATCCACCCGAAATGTCCTGTGCAAAATGTGGCTGCTTTCTCACCCCCCGGCACCAAAGACCCGGCACTTCTACGCTCACATCAACTGGGTGAATAGCAGGAGCTGTGTGATCTCGGCGCCTGAGTGGACAACCAGCTAGATAGGAGCCAGGCGTGTGCGGCGGCAGCCAAAGAAGCCAATGCGATCTTACGTTGTATTAACAGAGGGATACAATCAGGATCAAGTGAGGTACTAATACCACCCTATAAAGCCCTAGGAAGACCACACCTAGAGTACTGCACCCAGTTGATGGTCACCACACACTATAAAAAAGATGTTGAGACTCTAGAAAGAGCGCAGAGAAGAGCAGCCAGGATGATGAGGGGACTGGAGACTAAAACGTAACAATGAATAGTTGCAGGAACTGGGCCTGGCTAGTCTAGTGAAGAGAAGGACCAGGGGAGACAAGATAATCAGTCTTTCAACATATGAGGCTATTTTCCAAAACACACGGAGGCCAGAGAAGGAAGAATGGATGGAAACTGACCAAGGAGAGATTCAACCTGGAAATAAGGAGAACATTTTCTGACAGGGAGACCAATCAAGTTGCCTTCAGAAGTTGCCGGAGTTTCATCACTGGAAGCTTTCAAGGAGAAACTCGGCTGCCCTCTGTCAAAAAACGGTGTGGGGTTTCCTGCTTGGGCAGGGGGTTGGACTAGATGACCTACAAGGTCCCTTCCAACTCGGTTAATCTGCTATCTTGGACCGGCCATGTTTCCCAGTTGCTCTGCTTGGGGTTTGCAGGGAGAATCAGATGTTCTGGAACTGGCATCGTCCTGGTTTTCCCCCTTTAGTTTTCGGGGTTTCTTTCCAGAGAAATCTCCCTAAAGAGCAGCAAGGAGTTCCTTCTCTTCTGGGCTTCTCCTTCCCTCCTTCAAGGTCCTTCGTGGATCCGTCTCCCTGCTCCTTTTCGGCTTCAAAGCCACGTCTTCTGCGGCTGTGGAGTTGCAACATCCTCCTGCTGGGCATTGCCTTCCTTGTTAGCACTTTGGGTGTGTATGTGTGGGTGGGGGTCTTTCTGCCAGAGAGCTTGTGCTTGCCGGGGCCGTTGCCTTCTTCTTCAGGGTCTTCCATTTCCCGAAGGAAGCCGCCTTAATCTCCACAGCTTCCCGGATGCAGCTGGAGAAAACACGGTGGTGGACTTGATCTTCTCCGACGTTTCTGCCTAATCTCCAGGCGCAAGGAAGAGATTTGTCTCCCTTGACGAGAAACAACGGATGGAAACGAATCAAGGAGAGCTCAACCTACAGAACGAAGGAGAGACGTCCTAACGGTGAGAACAATTGACCACTGGAACTGCTTGCCACCAGAAGCTGTGGATGCGCCATCACCGGAGGTTTCCAAGAAGAGATAAATGGACAGCCATTTGTTCAGAATGGTATAGGGTCCCCTGCTTGAGCTGGGGGTTGGACTAGAAGACCTCCAAGGTCCCCTCCAGCTGATTGATGGATGGACTTTTCCCTTCCTTACCTATTTGGGGTCCCAAAGGGATGGGACCTTTCTCTGGCCAAGCGACCAGAGCCAGGAAAAATGAAGCCATTGTGTAAGGGTCCCCTGCTTGAGCTGGGGGTTGGACTAGAAGACCTCCAAGCTCCCTTCCAACCCTGTTATTTTCTTCTCCTGCAAGGGTCTCTTGAGCTGGGGGGACTAAATGACTTCCAATGTCACTTCCGACTCTGTACTTCTGAAGGGTCTCCTGCTTGAGCAGGGGGCTGGACTAGATGACCTCCGAGGTCCCTCCCAGCTCTATTCAGATACTTTCCTGCCAGCCTACCAGGAGACCCCAACATCTGCCAAGAACAGTTTTAACCAGGGCCCTTAGCACTCTGAGGAAGCTTGGTGGTTCTCTTACAGACGTTTCTTACCCAGACTAAGTAACATCACCAGATGTTTCTGCTAGGAAACCACCCGGCTCAGAGAGAGCACCAAGGACCCTTCAGACCCGCCTTCATTGGCACAGCTTTCACCCTATCAAATGATCACAGAAAGACGGCAAGGTCCCCGAGGTTCCTTCCATTCACCCATCTCTGTAGGAGGAAGAGCGGAGAATACATTCCTCAAGTTTTCAGAGCTCCTGGCGAAGGAAGCGGATAGTATTGCCTCTAGTATCTAACTCGTAAAGAGTGATGTGGTGGCCTAGAGGTGGAGCTCTTGCCTCACAATGAGGAGGCTGTGAGTTCAATCCTAAGGAGAGGCAGATATTTCTCTATCTCTGGGCACAATGAGAATATATCCGCTGAACAAAACTCCACATTGGCGACAGAAAGGGCATCCGGCCATGAAACACGCTGCTAGCCCCATTCAGTTGCCCAGACTCCACCCCGCAGGAGGAGGAGGAGGAGGAGGAGTCTCTAACTCATTAGTCTTACTGCAATGCCGATATTAGAGTGCAGATGAACCAGAAGAGCAGAGTTGGAAGGGGCCTGGGAGGTCTTCTAGTCCAACCCCCTCCCTCGCCATGGGAGTGGGGCGGAGAATGTTCCAAAGGGTTGGGCCATGGCTGGGAAAGCTCTCTTCCTGACCCCTGCCAGTTCACTGACTGGGTCCATAGGATGGATGCCACCCACGCTGTGGGTGCAGTGGGACGAAGACGCTCCCGCAGGTCACCCAGCCCAGCGCAAGGGTGTTTCCCGGTGAATTGCATTGCTATGGAGTCCGCATTCAAAGCTTTGGTTTATTCAAGAGGGCGGAATAGACAGGCAGTCCCCGACTTGCAATGGTTCACTTAGAGACCGTTCAGAGTTACAACAGCACCCGGGGTGGGGAGGGGTACAACCATTGGGGCCTCCCCCTTTTCTGTCTACCCACTCCTTCCCCTCTTCTCATTCTTTTTTTCCATTCCCTCTATTTCTGTCTTTCCTTATTCTCTCTTCTCATTGTCTCTCCTTCCCCCCTTCTCTCCGTCATTTTTTCCTCTTCTCATTCTTTTTTCCATTCTTTTTGTCTTTTTTATTCTCTTCCCATTGTCTCTCCTTCCGTCCTTCCTCCTCCCCCCCCCTTTTTCCTCTTATTCTTTTTTCCCATTCTCTCCCCATTGTCTCTCCTTCCGTCCTTCCTCCTCCCCCCCCCTTTTTCCTCTTATTC